CACTGGCGGGGAAAAACCGCTGGGCTATATTTGTCTGCGCGAGAAATAAAATTAAGCGTCTGAACCAGAGGAGAACAGTGCTTGTGGGCCAAGACAGCCAGGTCATGCAGCTCTCAGTGTGAGTGTGTGGGTGTCTGGCCTGGCGGAGTGATCTAGTTTAATCACCGACAAAACATCCAAAACCCCTGAAACACATTCAGCTCTGTTAGTTTATCACTGAACTCACGCTGTTCATGTATTTTGAACAGGAACATTACAATGCGACGATAAAACACTGCATTAGTTCAGCATTATGTTCAAATGTACATTCAAACAGGGCTGGGTGGAAATGATTAGATCTGACGAACTTCAAAAACTGATTTCTGTTCTACGGCAGAAGTGCAGAGCGTTTGGGCGACACTGGGCTGTGTTAAAAGGGACGTTTGCTGATTTTTACCAAATTCTGCATGAATAAATGTTAAGATATAAACAAAGTCATTCAGAGTGGCTTGATGTAAAACGCTCTGTTCCAGAGAAACATCAGATCTGTTTGCAGTGGTGAAGATGGGAACCAGACGTCTGAAACATTCAATGCTTCTAAAAGCTCCTTCACAAAGTTATTACATTAAATATGATTATAGATATGCCATCTGATGCCTTAAACATTGCTTTATGATAGTTTTGTAAAGCTAAAGTATGTTTTTAACATCCATTCACTGCGGAGAGGCACACGCAGGACGCTGTAAGGTGAACCATTCCCTAAAGAAACCTTATTTTTTCAGATATACCACTATTTTACCAGCATCAGCATTACATACAAAAACTCCAGTGTAGGTTCACTGGAGGTTTTGGATAGTAAGTAAAATGGCTATATTTGTGTTGCAGACAGTGGGTGAATTTCTCTACGACAACCCATTTCACAATTCTAAAGCACCCTGAAATGTTTGTTTCCACCATAACAACTGAATTATGAAAAATTGGTGGAACTTCCCTTTAAATGACTGCATTATCTTAATTCTACCACTCTCACAATCCTGTATGAGTAGATGATATATTTGCTAAAGCTGGTCGAAGTTAATCTAATTACAATTTTAACATTTTATAGATGTTTATATTTTAGCATCAACATGGGTAAATATGTACATTAAAAACACCAGATGTTGGCTGGTATATCGTGGCTTTCCTACAAGTAAGAAACTTTAATATAGCTGATACTTTTAGGCAATGAAACACAAGGGAGACGGTGTTAGCACAAATTACATGATCGCCACAGAGGAGTGCAGCAGATCACCACAGCCCGCAAGTTATGTGCGATAACATACAATCTTAAGGGCTGCTTTTATACAACAGTCCTGTAAAATAAAGACAAAAGTAAAGCAAACAAACCTAAACATTGAATCAAATGTGCTTTAATATACTCAATTCTTTCCACCAGACAAAAGGTATTAGCCTTTTGTACAAAACTGCCACAATATCAGGTTCAGCTCACCTTTTCCAATGATATTAAACCCGAATGTTGTTTTTGTTCTAGCCAGTCGGTGAAGCATTTCACAGCCCATCTTATCTGCAGAACTGAATTATTTTCTGGCCAAGTCCAGTTTGTTTAGCTGTTTCTTCACAGCTGCTGACTGAAACGCTCAGGATCAACAACACGTTCAGAATCTGATCCACGCCGTTTCTTAGAATCTGAGCAAATGAGCTGCAGGTCAAATATTATCGCAGAGATTTTCCCGAATGTATTTATTTTCTGTTTTATATGTGCTAAAGTAGAAACTCAGTAACGATCAGCTGCAGCGTAAAGCGAGTCATTACTCACTACAATCAAGTTATTGAGGTAAAAAGTTGTTATTTAGGGCAGAACGCTTCTCAACCAATCAGACTGAAGTAGAAACTAACTGCAGTACAACTCAAAGTTATCTTAGTATTAGTGGTAAGAATCTCTAAGACACTTAGGATTCGATTCAGGGTGTCACTGTGCAATTTTCCCACCCCTACTTGGTGTCAGATGATATTTTGACTATTTTGCTTTGTTTGTTTTAAAACGACAGAACTTCTCAGATGGAAAACCTCTATTAATTTTGTTTTTATCCATTTTTTATTGTTCTTTCAAAACAATCTGAAGCACCGATCAAATGGCATACACTGCACTTGATGTTATCCATCAATACCACTAAAACTAAGCATCAATATTGCTGTGCGACACAAATACCAACATAGATGAACGTCAATCTTCACTCCCGCACGGCTGGGCAATATGACCATGTTTATCGCAATAAATTACGTCAGGATGTCACAATATGTTTTTCTTAGCACGTCTTAGATGTCGTCAGCACTTGGAAACATTTCCCAAACGCATGGTTGATTACAAAGAGAGCATAATTAGTCTTGTTCAGTTGGACTAAGAGCAGTGCAGTATGTGAAAAGCTGAAATACAAATCGTTCTATTCAGTTTTTGAGAGTAATTTTTTCAGTATGGTACCATTTTGTCTTTTCAAACTTCTCAGATATCAGAAAATACATCTACAGACACACCGTGTATCATGAAAACCTCTAGGACTATCACAATTACATTTTTGCCAGATCAGCTGCTTCTAAATACCAACACTGTAAACTCACTTCATGTTAGCACTGCATTAGCTCATCAAGTCCAAATCTAAAATTACTAAAGAGAATGGAGCAAGTCGGCTTTTCACTGGATCTCCTTTCTTGCTTTGAAATGCAAAAGCTTCTGTCGAAGCAGTGAACTTTCGGTGGACAAGGCTGCGTTAAGCACTCGTGCCTCGGCCTGCTGGCAGACGAATCGAACAGGTCGTCTGCATTCAGCCTGGGTGCAGCAGCACAACACAACATAAAGCTATTAAACGGAAAGTAAATGGAAAGATAGCCGTCTGATTAAACTGGTGTACAGCTCTAAGCAGTGGCAAAAGCTTTAGACTCGAACTCCATAGCAACCCAGCTCAAATGTCAGGGCGTCTGAAAGTGACACACCACAGGGCTCGTGCAGAAAATTGTACTGACAAACACAGTTAAAGGGGAATTCCACAGATTTTTCAAAGTTCCTGCACAATTAAATCCTTAAAACGTAAACAGTCATTCAGAGCGGTTTGATTCTGAAATTCTACATTGCAGAGAAATCAAACCAGAATCGTTCACACTGGTGGTGAAAGGAACCAGACATCTGATTTAATGCCTCCCAAACCTCCCCCCCCAAAGGCCTGACTCCTGAGGCAGAACAGTCCCCACATAACCCTATTTTAAGGCCTACCACTAAGGTTCACCACTTTCAACATCACATGTAAAACTCAGACACACGTAGGTTCAGTAAACATGTCACCTCCACTGTAAAGAAATCCAAGGCAAGAAAATGGTAAGAAAACATTTCAGATCAACCCACTGTGAATGCCTTTTTACGTCTCAATGATTGTGTTATGAAGAAGAAAAAATAAAAATTAAAAAAAATTAATAACACTGCCCTTTAATAGGATGGTAGCACTTTTTTTAGTTCCCTTATTTCATACGTGGGACGCACACACATACTCACACACACATTCAAATACACCAACAAACCCCCTCTCAAACCACTTTGATGCAATACAAATGAATTTTCCAGCCCTCCTCTCTCCGTCTCTCTCTCCCTCTCTCTTATCTGGTAAAGCTGAAAGTGTCCAGACCCCTTGGAAAAGCAGCGGTTGCTCAGTTGTGGACGAGCAGGGAAGATCAATCCCTCAAGCCTAGAGGGTTCCCAGTGCTGGGACTGGAGCTCCCGGGTCCTGCTCCAATACACCCACTTCAACTCAAGAAGAGCTTGTTAATGAGCCTGATGGGTGTATTTGAGCAAGAAAACACTGAAATCAGTAGGACACCCCTTGTCTTGAAAGCAGCTGGCGACCGCTGCTCTAGCCTGTGTGTGAGGAGTTAAAGGTCAGAGGCTTAAATTCAATAATGATATCTTCCAAATGCATCACAGCATTTGACCACATTTAAGTTTGCGTTATTTAAGTTACTGAATCCATGTTTACGGCTACGCTATGCTGAAAGAACATGACATACAAACCTGACATAGCTTGTTTTTACTGGACTGTCCTGTTTTGTTTATGCCTCTTAAAACGTACACCAAAGGGAACCTATTGATGGATCTTGTGCCTCAACTTCTGCACTGCTTGTTAATTTTCTCAGAGTTATCCTCTATGGGGAATGTGTGTATTTCTACTGGCTTGGCAGGAAGGCCACTGCTGTATTATGGAATATAACGTTTCCATGAATATACAGCATGTTATCCATCACTAAAACAGAATATAAATATTGTTGGGTGACACCAGCAACAGTATAGGCAATAAATCATGAAACGCAACCAACACAGCCTCGTAAACCAGACAGAAACCATGTTTTCAGAGAGGAAATCTGCTAATTGTTTGACCTTTTTTCAATCTTGTTAGTTCATGTCTCCGGTCGTATTAAAGCTCGAATCATTTCATATAATTTAAAAGGCAAAACTATTGTTCTCTAGTCAAAATGTAATGACTTTAGCCTGCCTCCAAAACGTCCTCTGATATCGGTTACGTCACAGTGCACCGTGTAAAAATATCATGTTTCACAAGCCCATTCCAGCACCCCCACCTATCATCGAGCCAGCTCAGAGACCCTCCCTGACCCTGTGTTCCACAGCAAAATACATCATATTACAGAAAAAGCTGTTATGTTTCTGACTAACTATAAGCACTCAGCAAAAGACATAAGTTATAGTTACCGCAGTATCTGTTATCCACCAGTAGCGCTAACACTAACAATCACTATTGTTGTCTGTCAGCAGTAACGGTATACCGGTACAGACGACATATGGCTCAGCAGCAGTGAGACACGCCGGGTAATGAGTGGGTAGTACTGGCTGTGGGGCCAGCCCATCCCCCTTCCACGCCACAGACATAAGGAAATGTTACCAGGTAGCTCCTGGGGACGAGGTGGCCTTTAAGCAGCTCCTCCATAAACAAGGGGAAGAAGAAATAGCATCATGTGTGATTTACCTGCTCCGGAGTTCCGGTGAGCTCCAGGGCCGGAGTGCCTGTGGCCGCCTGGAGAAAGGATGCTCCCGGGAGGCCTCAGGTTTTCTGTGTGTCCGTGCTGCTGCAGTTGCTGGGTCACTCCCACCGCTCCGTTAGATCCGTAGAATCCGGAGCGCGACCGCGAGCGAGTTCTGGGAGGCTCCGGGAGGCTGTGAACAGGCGAGGCCAGCGGCGAGGGAGCCAGAGGGGAGTGTGACGTGTCTGCCGCTGCCGCCGAAGCTCCGAGCGTCGCCCTGCCCGGCTCCAGGGGTGCGCCGCTGTGCCCCAGCACCTCAGCCCCGGCGTCCTCACACAGGCCAGCCCTCTTGGGCACGGGTTCGGCGCCGCTGGGCAGCTGCAAGCAGACGCGAGGCTCTGGAGTCGCCGGCTGACCGGTGGCTGCGATGGGCATTTCCTTCACGTGGGGGACGGGGAAAGGGAGGCTTCTCTTTTTTCTCTGTCCGTTTTCCAGCCAGCGAAAAAGGGGGAAGCACTCGGAGGAATTAAAAACTGTTTGGAATAAATTAAACAGAACAAAAAATCTGTTAAACGCGAGTTCATAATTTTGCTTGTATGAGTTTCAAAATAAGCTTAAGGCAGGGCTGCCTAAAGTGTGGTCACCAAAAACACCAACGTACCAAAAACATTTTTAGAGTATGTACAAATTCTACCTGTCCCCCAACCTTACCCATCTTCTTTATCAGTATATAGTTTTGCATTGTTGGCTTTTGTCTATAGTCAGGAAATATGACAATATTTATCTTTATTATGATAAATTACACCATAATCAGCTTTTCTGAGCATATCGTGGGTATCGCCAGTTCTAAAAAAAACACCTACCAACCGCTTGTTTGATTAAAGAGAGCACAATTAGTCCTGTTTTACCGGATTTAGTGTCACACTGTGTGAAATGTTGACTACATGTCAGAAACAAACGGCGTGACATATTGTGTATCATGTACTTACTAAAATCTAGTGATTTCATTTTGCCATATCGCCCATCTCTACCTTCAGCTCACCAAAAACACTGCACTTCGGCCCCCCAAGGCAAAAACTTCGGGCACCCCCTTACATGCTTATAATAGTAGTAGTAATAATAATAATAATAATAATAATAATAATAATAATAATGAGGAAGAACAACAAAAACAATATTGTTGTTGTTACTTATTAACAACAACAACAACACAGTAAATCAGCTAGGGGTTATTATAGTAACAAATAAATTCATAACACCACCGCAACGAGACGAATCAGCTTGGCCATAATAATATTAATAATAATAATAATATATAATAATAATAATAATAATAGAAAATGACAGACTAGCTAAACCAGTTAAGCGAAATAAACGCACCTCCACTGTCCCATTACTAACAGCACCTAAAAAACCCTTAAATCAATCGGCTTCAAAAAGTTAAAAGGTGTTTAATGTTTTAAAAAACGGCACTTAAATGAATGTGCCCCACTCAGTCAGAGCGAACTAGTATTTTTATGTGGAAATAAAGCGGCTAAAACAACTAATAAACGATGAAAAGTAAACAGCAGCACTTCCTCTCCATTCAGAACACGGCTCCGGCTAAGGCTAACGTTAGCTCGTTTGCATTAGCCAAACAAAAAGACTGAGCACTGAACGACGCCCATTACGGGCTATTCCTCCTCGCCGAGAGGCCAGAATACGTCTCAACAAAGTTCACCACATCAAAAAAGTCCACTTTTCTCGCCCTCGACGAACATACCGACAGTAAAGTGAGGTTAATTCAACACAAAATAGCGCTTTAATTTCCCCGAAACCGACAAACTCAGCTCGGCGGCGGTTAGCCTGTTAGCACAACAGCGGTCCGGGTACCGTCCACCTACACAGACACACCGAGACTCGGGCACTTCACAGACACACCAAACTACCACGGATACCCCCGGGTCCGAGAATACGTGGTAAAAGTCTACTTTAAACGGCAAACTGATTCGCGAAGCTGAAGTCTGCCTCTCACTCGCCAGATTAATTTTCCCGTTCCACCTTAAATGGCGCAGCAGTTACTTTCTGGCGCCTCAGGCACCAGAACGCAACTGCTACACCATTTAAGGTGGAACGGAAAATTCGAACAAGAAGCTGGCGAATAAGGAGGTATTAAACCTCCCTTTTCTCTTCTCCTCCTTTTTTTCTCTGCCCCTTCCTCTATTTCCCTCTTTCGTCCTCTCTCTTTTCCTATTTCTCCCTCTCTCTCTCTTTCCCTCTGTCTATACTCGCGCTGAGAAATAAAAGAGAAAAAGCCTCACATCTCCGTCTCAGCTCAGCTCCGTCCGCTGGAGCCGAAATACGTTAAAAAAACAAGCAGCGAAGCCGAGCCGACACACGCAGCTCGCCGAAATGAGGCTCTTACCCGCTGAAGTGAATATCCGAGGCGCTCCCTGCTCCTCCACCGGCGGAGTGAACGGTTTTTAACGTGTTGAAGGTGGGTTTTGTGGATGTTTTCAGCGCTTAGCCGAACGCCCCGCAGCTTCAGACGGTGAGAAAATGTGACAAAACCATCAGCGGGACTTCACATTCACACCGAGCCAGACCGCGCTAATCGCACACAGAGAACAAGCTGAGCCAATTCGTTTATATACCGAACGCAACCACATGAAAAACACATACGCGCATTTTTATCTGTACATTAAAATAAAAATCAAATGTGTTCTATATATAAATTATTATTGATATGTGTAGTGTTTTTATGTTTATTTATAAATGTTACACCGATCAGCCATAACATTAAAGCAGACGACATGCAGCGTCTTAATCTTGCAGACAGATAAATGCTGAGCGTCTGTTACCTCAACTAGCCTAGTCACATAATAACTTATCTCACCTTTCAGCTGGAAAACAGGGAGTCTGTGAAATAAATAGTGAAAATGAACTTGAGCTTGATGTGCATCGAGGCAATGCTTCCTATGTGCTATAGCTGCGCTTTGTACTACATTCTGTGCAGCGCAGTGCACAGTTGTGCATTTGTGTGTTTGCAGTGTGCGTTAGCCTTTAGACAGCTGCAGCAGCAGAGCCGGTTTATGAGGAGCTTGGCCTCTTCCTATTTCCCCCATTATATCAAAAACATGACTGCAAAATATCAGAGGGCGCTGCGAGCGAAAAACAAAAACTTAAAATAGTTTCTACTCACTTTTCTTTAATTTTGGAAAGTAGAAGAATGTATATGTAAAAAAAAAAACAAAGAAAACTCACCTGTATGTTTCCTTTTCTACAGCAAACAGGTTTTAGGCTGTAGGATGCTGGCATTACTGCTACAAGTACTGATTGGTTGGCATTACTGCTACTGCGTGCTGATTGGTTGCCAAGTGGACCAGCTCACTGGCTGTTCATGCTCACTGACATCATGGACATCTATGAAGCGTTTTAAACACCTATAATTTGAGTTTTAAAAATATAACAGCTGTGTTAAAATGTTTTAATGCTGTTCTGTGTTCAGGAAATGAATGTATTCTTTTATATAAAAATGTTTAAGCATTTATGAACTGTGGTTTTACTCAAATGCTTCAACATTTTTTGAATTTGCTCGGGAGCGCCCTCTAGTGTTTTGAACTCACTCGGGAGCGCCCTCTGGCATTTTGAATTTGCTCGGGAGCGCCCTCTAGTGTTTTAGTAACCCAGAAGACATTACAGAGTGGTAATTCTCCTCTCTACAAGTTCTCTGGCGTTAGCCCTTACACGGCTTTAGTAGTCTTCCTGTGTTTCCTTCTTTGGCCTAAACAGATTAACCTCTGACCAAAACACAAGACACTGCCCTCTAGTGGATTAGAGTTCAGATGTGTCTTGGTTCTTAAATATGAGAGTGTATAACTTCAGAAAGAAGTTAATTTGCTTGTCAAAATCCGAATTGAATATTTGCTTTTTTACAACTTGCATGACTAATTTAAAAATTCAGACTTATCTACAATATTGACTGAAAGGCTGCTCTTAACCCTCACTTACAGACTGAGGACCTCTAAGTCAGTATTCACTGAACTGTCCTCCTCAGTCCTGTTACAATTATTACAAAATCACCTTTATCTGTGACGATGATCACAGTTATCTCAGACAATTACAATTATGTAAACTAACTGCAATCACTTTCCACAGTTCTCAATTAATGTAAATAAACGAAAGCAGTATATATAATCATGGAGACGTCACGAAGCTGAAATTTAAAACAAACAAGTCCAAATGTCTAACTTGGTGCTGGAGCATCCAGAGGGCAGCACTAAGTAACATTTGTTTTTTTGTTAGCTATGCTAGCAAATTACAGCATTTTTAGCATGTATACCAGCAGAATGAGTGTGTTTTTGCTTATATTTAAGGAACATGTAGTTCTGCTCGACTCTACATATAATTCTGTGTAACTGTAGACATTTGTATGAGAGTGTATTGATTCGACAGCACCAGTGTTAGCTACTAAGTAAACACAGCTAGCATGTAAGGTGGCTAATCAGCCAATCTAGCCACTTGAGGCTTGTTTTAAAATGTTAATCACAATAATTTGTTCAACAATTAATCGTCAGCTAAAATCTCCAACAACCAGTTTTAGTAAGGCAAGAATAATAGCAAGGCCTGCTTAAACCAAATTAACAGGCTCGTGTTTTTGTTCAAGCATGTGTACGGGTTGATAGTTTTTTAAACATGTTTACTAAAATAAACCCTTTAGCATTTTAATAAGCTTTTTATTGTCCCATGATTTGTTGTTGTTGTTCTGAAAAGTAATTATTTAGATTAATCAATTTATCTTCAGCAGAATTCCTTGGAAATGTCTGCATGTTATGTTACATTTAACTAAAGCTCATAACTCAGAATTTCCAACCTCCGAGTGGGAAGAACCACCCCTTCATCTGGGAATTCCTACTCATAAAGGAGGGAAAGTGTTCTCAACTCAGCATTACACGTTATATCAATATGTCTGCTCAGACTGTCAACAGTAATAAAGTGCCAATTCTCTGCTGTGCAAACAAAAAGGAGGCCACCCTTCCTTCACTTAACTTCCAGTCAAAATCAAGTACAAGTTCTTCATTTTTCAGGCGATATTCCTGAAGAGATTAGATATAAGATGATTCACTTGCATAAGGAAGGAGAAAGTAAAAAAAAAAACAAGAGTTTCCAAAACTGGAGTTCAAAACAAGATTAAATGTAGAGAAAATGGGACTCCTAACAACCACCTGGAAGACCTGGTAGACCAGCAGAACTTCGGATCAAATAAATGGTACTTGAAGCTTTCATCTTTGAGAGAGAGAGGAGAAAATCAAGCTCCACTCTTACTTCAGATCTGAAACAATCCACAGCCATCCTTCCACTGTGAGAAGACAACTCAGCACTATGGGTCTGAAAGGATGTGTAGCTGTCAAGAAGCCTCAGTGAGAAAACAGACTTAAAAACGTACAAATTAAACAAAGAAGCTGTTGGAGTTCTCAGAACAGTGGACTGACCACCCCAGAGTCCAGACCTCAACATCACTGAATGTGTTTGTGATTTCTTGGATCGTGAGAAGCAGGAAATGAACCAACTTCTAAGACTGAACTTCGGAGGTGTTAAAACATCCCTGCAGTTTTCCTTGTAAAACTTAAAGTGAGTCGCCTGAAAAGAGTGGAAGCTGGAATAAAGAATGTCAATGTTTCTGTGTATTTTTACAAAAAGAATGAAAGAGGAAATGAAATAAGTGGTGCTCTCTGACTTTTTTGCTCAACGCTGTAGTTCCAACTCTTAAAACAGCTCCTAGTATTTCCTATGTGTGTGGCGCAGGCGGTCGGCGCTCGATTGCTCAGGTCTGACTCAAACTGCATAGGCAATGTTCGGCTGAAGCTGAAGGGAACCGTGTGAATAATTTACAAATGTTACAGGCTGCTGCCTTCATTTACCTTTATCTGCCAGCTTCCACCTCTCTATAGCTGTTCATTTTCCTTCCCCACACGTTCACAGGCTTTGTTTTTTCCAGTGTCCTTTGGCTCGTGGGACATTTAAACGTGTTTATGTGAGCTGGTGGCTGCTAGCAGCAGGCATGTTCCCCCCCTGCTGGACAGGCCATCCATCAATACTGCTGTACGTTTCACTATAAGTCTGAAAGTTGGGTTGGGATTAGCCTGAGTGGAGTTTTTGTGGTCTTGCTAAGAACAGTGAAACTATCATTTCACCAGAGTAAACAGGATACATAGACTTTTATTAGCATTTGAACAGCATTCAGTCTGAAATGTGGCCTGTTTTATGTCTATATCTCCATAATCGGAGATGTGATTTGCTACATCTTGCACTAATTCCTTAAAGATGCTCAGCAAGGCCTGGTGCTTTTGTGACGTTGACTGAGTTATCACTAGTAACTCTTCTGTTCCCCCCTTATTTCATACAGAGGGCCTTGTTTTCTCTTTTTCTTTCACTTTGATGCCATGCAAAATGAATTTTCCTGTCCTCCTCGCTCTCATCCGGCCTAGCTGCAATCGTCCAGACCCTGGAAAAGACAGTGGTCACTCACTGCTGTGGACAAAAGCGAGGCGGATCAGTTCCTGTGGCCAGCGTGTGGGAGATAAGGTCAGAAACGTCGGCTAGCCAGGGGCCTTCAGCCAACGAGTGGGAAGAAGTATTGGGGTGAGTGGGTGGGAGACGGGGCGAGAGAGAAAGGGGGGATGGGAGAGAGAGAGGAGAGAGAGACTGAGAGACAGAGAGAGTGAGTGAGGATGGGGGTGGGTAGTGTATGTGTAAGGGAAGAAGGGGGGGCCTTCGCTGACATGTACCCTTATTGGTTTGTTCGAGCCGTTGGGGGAGGGGCACCATGCACACACCAGCTGTAAGAAAGCAAAGAGAAACAAAGGGAGAGAGAGAGACAGAGAGAGAGAGAGAGAGAGAGAGAGAGAGAGAGAGAGGCATAATTAAAGTGCAAGCTGAGAAGATGATTTAAAATGCTGATATGCTTCAAATAGAAAATCCACAAAGAAAAGAAATATGTAATCCAGCAATACACTGAACGCAGCAGAATTCATAAAAATAACCCTTTGTTTTAAAGGGGAAATCCACCCAATTTTAAGAAATTCTAAATAATTTAATTGCTGAGATGCAAACAAAGCCGTTCAGAGTGGTTTGATGTGACATGCTCCATTCTAGAGAAACTTATCGACTTATGTTTCTTTTCAGGGGTGATAAATGGAACCAGGGATTTGTAATATCTACAACATAATTATAACTATTTTATATACTACCTTTTTTATATGTAATGTTCTGATAATGACAAGATAATAATAGTCTGTAGTAATAGCAATAGGAAACATAAGTTCTCGGGGGGCTATTTTGCCTTACAACACCCTGCATTAGTCTTTCCGCCATGAACGGATTTAGAAATATACATTTTAGGCCAAAGTCTTATGTCAAAACTGTTCCAAAAGCAAAGTCTCAGGCATCAGGCAGAGCGTTTTACTTCAAAACATTATGAATGACTGTTTACATCTTAACCATTTAATTATGTAGAGATGTTAAAAAAGCGGTTGAATTCCCCTTTAAAATAGGTGCATTAGGGGTCCAAGCACCAAAAGCAGCCTGGGCTTCCG